TGGGATGTGCCGGGGGCTACATTTCATTATTTTAGTCATTGTTCAACGGTGTTATAGACCAAATTTGCTAGTTAGACTTAGATAGTTACTGAGCAAAACTGTTCGACTGAATTCGCCAGTCAATTTCTTGTGGCAATGAGTTTTGTATCAAATGTGGTTCATATTGGGAAAAAAAAATAGCATCCGTTTTCTTAAATATGATTGTAAATATTTCACAAATTCAATTGTTTTAGGTTGAAATTTTCTTCAAGCTTGTAGCCATGGATCTTACTAGAATCAAGTACTTGGAAACTCCATTCTTGTTTGCATCTCAAGGGGTAAACAAATTTTACTACTTTTTTTCTTGCATTTTCTTGTATTCTCTGGTGAAAAAGCGAAAGATGCACTAGAGTTTACTTTGTATATTTTGTTGTTTCTTACTCAGGGAGCAACATTAGAGGACAGCAATGGACTTTGCGAGACAAATACAAAAAACCCATTTTTGGATACATTTTCTGACCCTCTTTGCAAGCTGAATCTCAAGGAAACTTCTGATTTTGTGAAGTCATTTCCATTGGCAAACAATGGTACAGATATCAGAGGTTTTCTTGAGGTTTCAGCTCAGTGGAACAGAGAAAATGGTGTTGATTCTGTTTCAAAGAGGAATGTAGAAGCTCCACCTAGTCCTGGGAGGCCTACTTTCAGCTTTAACAGTGGAAATTTCAAAAGAAAAAGTTTTCCTTCAAAATGGGATGATGCAGAGAAGTGGATTGTCAGTGGCAGCTCTTGCCATGATTCCCCTGCTCATCATTTTGATCTGATAAAACCACTGGAGGCCTCAAAAATGTACTCTAAACAGTGCAATGGGTACAATCTACACCAACCTGATGTCTTTGCAGAAAAATTTAGGGTTACAGGGGAAAAGGACTCTAAAGTTGTTTCAAACTTTCAAAGGGCTTCTGCAATGGACTCAGCTAGACCTTTTAATGGTAATGTACCACTGAAAGGTAAGAAACCTTTCTCAAAACTTTTCCCTTTACCTTCCAAAAGCTCTATGATGGTAACTTTTTTTCATCTGTGGCCCATGCTTTAGATTATGTTACTTTCTCTGATGACAAAACTATTTGGCCTTTTTCTTGTCTAAACCTTAAAAGTACTTTATGAAAATGAAACTTGCAATGAACCTTGAATTATCAAAAAGTAAATTGGATTTTATTTGGCCAACATTTTGAAAATATAGTATTTTGTGGTTTAATATATCTACATTCTAAGCTATCTTGATGATATATAATAGCCTACTAGGAAAATGCTGACCGGTGCTTTCTTAAGATTCTCTCTGTTTACATTGACAAAATTGTACAATGTTCGATTGCTATTGAACAAGATGCATATGAATCTTGCACATGCAGATAAATTCACAAATGAGGTAGAACAAATTTGTCCCAAATTTAAGTGTGTAGAGCCAATGAAAGAAGGATTTTTATTTGGGAATGCAGTGGAAAAGTCAGCAGAAGATGCGATCTCAGTAATAATTCACGAGGTGAAACACCGTGACATTGGAACTGAAATGACCCCTCTTGGCAGCTTGACCACTTCAAGATGCCCGTCTCCGTTCATTAGCACATCACCTGCGCGCCATAACACACCCACTAACAGGTCCAGCCCATTGGCCTTGGAAAATATGGATGTTGCCAGCACTATTGACATGATGCAATTGCAAGATTGCCATTTAGCCAAGTTACATAATGAGCCACAATTCAATTCTGTTACAACGAATTGGAGCTCTTGAGAAGAGGAGGAGGAGGACATATCAAAGAGCTTGAGACACTTCGAGATGAATAACGAGTTGAGGAAAAGTATTTCCAAGTCTAGACCCCGTACCCGGGAGGAAGAGGAAAAGACCAAGTCTTGCCTCAGGTAAATGAATCACAAGGTTCTCTCATTCTCTTGTTAAGGTTTCCCAAATGTATTAATTGTAAGCAGAACTTCAGGTACCAAAGAGAAGAAGCTAACATTCAAGCTTGGGTGAATCTCCAAAATGCCAAAGCAGAAGCCAAATCCAGAAAGCTCGAGGTGTAATTTCTGACCATCACTTTCTGCATTCACCCCCAAATTCCTTTATGCTATGCATATTAGACATACATAACTCAGTTTTAAGATTTGCATTATGCCATCAAAATTCATTCTTTATGCTCATACATATCAATCTCCAATGTGCATCAGTACGATTCTTTTCTTGAAGTTCATTTTTCTCAATGTGGATGGCAAAATATTTTAACAGTAACTGCTGAAATCTAGTAAATGAATATCGTACTGACCTATAGTTTTGACAGTTTTACACAATAATAATAACAAACTAAGCCTTATTACCAATAAATTTGAAGTCGTTTTCTTCCCCCCTCTATTTGGTCCTTTTTTAAGAGTCTGTATTATGTTGGTTATAGATAAAGAGTTTTGCAAGCTTATATTTGGCTTTATCTTCATTGAGCCACTCACTAGACAGGGACACGGTGTTCCCATGGTGGTCCTAATCTCTTTTTGAGGGATCTCTTTACCCAATGTATATAAGGCACTCCAGAAGCAAGAAAGCAAGAGAAGTCAGCACAATGCAGCTTATTATATTTAATGCATGAATAGTCTATTAAACATTGGAAGTTTGAAACTCATGTGAAGTTACTGCACTCCCAAAAATCTAGGCAAATTATTAATTTAAATTAGTGTTGATTTTATGCTTGAAATTTTATTGCTATTCTAATGGATAAGACAACAATTATAGTGATAAATAAATGGGCAACATAATTTGATCTAAAACTTCCTTCCTGTGTCAGCTTCTACCTTGTTGTTGGTGTAGTTATAAGAGTACAAAAAAAATATATTATCAGCATTCTAACCATGGGGCCTTGTGCATTCTGGCTAAGCTTA